TCTCTTGTGGGAGGAGAGCTCAGCCTCCTGTGACAGCGTGTCAGGATGGAGAGCGGGTGACAGCTGTCTCCGCCCACACCGCCCCCCTCCATCCTGACACTGTCACAGGAGGCTGATAGTGACATAGAGCAGCGCACAGAGGGGAGCAGAGAAATAACGGATGCACCGCTATTTCGGCCAAAAAAATTCACTTTTGGCATTTTGCCAAAAGTGCAAGTTTCGGCCGATGTGTTTCCGTTGCATATAAAGCTCTAGCTTTATATGCAACGTTGGTAACAAAATTCGCCGATACCCAATACCGAAAGTCCCATTAAGGAAGACAGACTGCGTGTAATGACTCGCCACCTGGCTTCCTGATTAGCTGGGCGGTGTGTAAAGATTCGCCACCCTGCTTCCCGATTAGCAGGGAAGCCGTCCCCATGGTTCTCGTCACTAGGTGACGAGAAAGCATGGAGTCTGCTTTCTGGCCAATCAGGAAGCCAGGCGGCGTGTAATGACGCGGCACCTGGCTTCCTGATTGGCCGGGAAGCCGGCTCAATGCTCCCTCGTCATGAGGCGACGAGAGAGCATGAAGCCGGCTTCCCGGCCAATCAGAAAGCCAGGCGCTCCGTCGTTACACGGTGCCCGGCTTTCTGAAAAAAGTGGCCTCTGAAAAAAAAAGTTAAGACCCAGGTATGACCCTTGATGGTACTCAAGGCCATACACTGATCCAGACCAGACTAGAGAAAAGACATGACTCATCCCATGGAATAATCCAAGGAATAGAGTTTCCTTGCCTTCATCAAAGAGAAATACGCTCTCCAAAGAGGAGGGCCGCCATCAGGGGGGTACGGCCGATACACATGTGAGGGGCCTGGGCCTCTTACATGGGTATCGGCCGTACCAGGGGCGGCATGGCAGAGGTGACAGGGGAGGAGGTGGAGGAGTCCGGGCCCCCAGCAGCATCAGTCCAGCAGTGGAGGAGGCCAGGACCCTAGCAGCGCTAGTCCGGCATCGGAGGACTGGCGCTGCAGTTCGGAGGCAGAGGAGGCCAGGCCCCAGCAGCGCCAGTCCGGTAGCAGAGGAGGCAATGCCCCGGCAGCGTCAGGTAAGATGAGCTGGGAGGATGTGTAGGGAAAAGGACCCCGGCCAGCCCAACTGAGACCCTGCAGAGCCCACCATAGTGTCTCAGATGTGCTGTGCCGGATCTATGGTGGGCTCTGCAGGGTCAATCTTAGGTGGGCTGTGTGGGGTCTCAGGTATGTATGGGGTCTCAGGTATGTATGGGGTCTCAGGTATGTATGGGGTCTCAGGTGGGCTCTGCGGGTTCTCAGGTGGGTCCTGAGTCCAGTGCGTTACTACATCCAGAGTTCAGTGCGTTACTACGCCCAGAGTCCAGCGCGTTACTAAGTCAAGAGTCCAGCGTGTTACTAAGTCAAGAGTCCAGCGCGTTACTTAGTCCAGAGTCCAGTGCGTCACTAATTTCTGAGTCCAGTGCGTCACTAAGTTCTGAGTCCAGTGCTGAGTCCAGTGCGTCACTAAGTTCTAAGTCCAGTGTGTCACTAAGTTCTGAGTCCAGTGCGTTACTAAGTCCAGAGTCCAATGCGTTACTAAGTTCTGAGTCTACTGCGTTACCAAGTTTTGCGTCCAGTGCGTTACCAAGTCCTGAGTCCAGTCCTGAGTTACTAAGTCCCGAGTCCAATTCATATACTGTTCTGCATTAGTGTATAATGTATTGCTGGGATTTGTAGTCCCCCTACATTCATGCAGTAGAGTGTAAGCTCCTCTGTAGAGAAACTAAATGTGACTGGCCGAGTGGTGTAAACTAGTAAAGAGACTGATGTGACTGGATCATTGTTCTCTGTACAGCACTGCAGTATATGTCAAAGATATATAAATGTATAATAATAATAGTGTGTGACTGTGGGGGGCATTAGAGTGTAAGCTCCTCTGTACAGAGACTGAGGTGACTGGCTTAGTGTTCTCGGCACAGCACTGTGGTAAGTCAGAGCTATAGAGATGTATAACAATAATAGTGTGAGACTGTGGGGGACATTACCAGGGGAGACCCCGCCAGGGGGGGGGTTGGGGGGCCAGTATGTTCCTTAGGTCCGCCACTGTTTTTGCTGTTAGTAATAAGTGCGGTACGCCCCCCCCCCCTTGTAACTTGGTACCCTTCTG